ATATATATATATATATATATATATATATATATATATATATATATATATATATATATATATATACATATATATATATATATATATATATATATATATACATATTTCTAAATATATGCATATATACATATATACTTATATATATATTTATATTTTGCATATATACTTATATATATGTATATATACCTATATATATGTATGTAAATCTATCTATCTATCTATCAATCTATCTATCTATCTACATATATATATATATATATATATGTATATATATATATATATATATATATATATATATATATATATATATATATATATATATGTATGTATATATATATATATATATATATATATATATATATATATATATATATATATATATACATATATATATGGATATGCATTTATATACACATATGTGTGTGTGTATACTTATGTACATATATATATATATATATATATATATATATATATATATATATATATATATATATATATATATATATATATATATATATATATATATTATATTTATATATATGTATGTATATATGTATATATATATGTATATGTATATGTATATGTATATGTATATATATATATATATATATATATATATATATATATATATATATATATATATATATATATATATACATATATATACATATAAGCATACTTTTGTATATAAGTGCGTTAACACAAGAAACCTGTGGCATGAGGATAGGTAGTGAAGTGCCTAACAATGTCTTGCGTTTGTTGCAGCGCTGGGCATCGCGGGCTGGGTGTTGCTGGGCATGGCGACTGTCGCCTTCGTGACGCTGGTCGGCCTCCTGGTGGACACCGTGCGCCACGTGGTGCGCCACTGTCACCCGCGCCACAAGGCCACCACCTGCGTCGTGCTCTCCGTATACCCGGTCAGTGCCAAAGGCTATCCAAGTATCAGTGTAAATGTGTATGTGTGTGTGTGTGTGTGTGTGTGTGTGTGTGTGTGTGTGTGTGTGTGTGTGTGTGTGTGTGTGTGTGTAAGCCATTAGACCAAAAGACCACGTGGGTGTTTATCACGTGGATCTAAGTCAGTTTGGAACCATCACCCAAGGATCACGTAGGTAACGATTATACTTGACCTCGCCTGACCCTTGAGTTCTCTCCCAGAAGTCACCGTGTCCAGGTCTCCGCCAGCCTCGTGCCCCGAGGGCTGGCTGGCCGGACACGCGACCCCGCGCTCAGCGTTTTTTCATTAACTGTGTTGTACCCTCCTATGGAAATAAAGCCGTTAAACCACTATCACTGCCCAAACAGCCATAACCATTGTACTAAGGCTCTACAGTCTTTTACAGTGTATGTGTGTGTGTGTACACTGGATATATGCTGTGTATATTTAAAATAAGACAGAAAAATCCTAACAGATTTTTTCTAGTTTGATACACACGGAGAAGCAATATACATTTCTCATTGTTCCCTCTTCCGTTGCAGGTCATCGGGCTGTGCAGTTACTTGGGCTTGTTATTCCAAAAGGCTAACATGTTTCTGGACGCGACAGCTCAGCTGTGGTTCGCGCTGTGCATGTGGCAGTTCCTCCAGCTGACGCTCTCCTACTTCGGCGGCGAGTCTCGCTTCGTCAGGAAGATGGAGGGGACAATGCTGCCCTGGAAGGGGCCGCCCTGCTGCTGCTGGCCCTGCTGCATCTGCTGCCCCAAGGCCACGGTCATCAAGTGCGTTGTGCTGCCAACTTTGCTAGAGACAGTCATGCCGCTTCGCAATTTATTTTTTTTATGAAATTCACTGTTGTAACACCAATTGAACATGACGAAATCTTAAAGACCACATCTATGATGCACTTTTCTTAGTAGAAACTTGTTTGTATGAATCACTATTATCCATATAACCTTCCGCAGACCACAGATCCGGATGGTGAAGATTCTGGTGATGCAGCATCCTTGGGTCCAGCTCATCATCTCCATCTTCCAAGTCACGCTCTGGATCGAGGGCTGGTCAGTTGGATCTTCCTCTTGTGGGCTGCGAAAGCTTCCTTTTTGCGATCAGGAGATTCCCTTGACAAGCAGTTCGTGATGATTTATTGCTCAAGCCAAAACATTGATTATACCATATTAACGCATAGTCTTTCATCCCTATTATGGTAGATAATAGGTATCCATCTCCTCCAGTAATATGATAGATAGAAAGAAGGTCAGATAGAAACCATCAGATGCCATTCTTGAGTGAGCTCGACCAGTGTTTTGAGTAAACATCTTAGTAGTACCTAAATGTGTCTTCTGTACGCGTTAAATTAATTCTAGATTTAAGTTAATCCAAATCCACGGTACTTTCACAGAAGATGCAAGACACACTGCCAGGCGCACGAGTCAGTGCGATTATCAGTAAATCTGCTGTTTTACATGAAAAGGCGGGAATCTGTGTAATGGCAATTAGCAATCACCCTCTACAAGTTTCATATTATACGTTAATGTCGATAAGGAAACGTTTGCTACACAGGAAAATA